CTTGGCTAAAACTGGTCTAGTTCTTAATCGTCATTATGTTTTTAAGTATTGCTCTCCATCTCGTGCCTCCTTCCTAACTGGACGCTGGCCTCATCATGCTCATCAGTGGAATTTACCACAAAGTGACATGGCAGGTACTAATCTCAACATGACAATGATACCAGCTAAGCTAAAAGCTGCTAAATATTCCACTCATATGGTAGGGAAGTGGCATCAAGGATTTTTTGATCCTAGATACCTTCCAATCAATAGAGGCTTTGATACTTCAAGTGGATTTTTGGGAGGTGGTGAAGATCATATGACACAAGAGGCAGAATGTGCTATTGATTATTGGAAGAATGATGCACCTGATCCTCGTAATGGAACATACGATGCTTATAATTATGGTGATGACCTAACTGATATTATGAACAATCACAATGTTAATGACCCACTTTTTATTTATCTTCCATTACACAATGTTCATGCTCCTCTCCAAGCTCCAGATGAATGGTTAAATATCTACTCAGTTAATTCCACTTGTGAGAACCGCCGAACATACCAAGCTATGGTCAGTGTAGCTGATAATGTTACTGGATATTTAGTGCAACTGTTAAAGAAGAAAGGAATGTGGGACAATACTATAATTATTATTTCTGCTGATAATGGTGGTGCTGCTTGTGGTGGTAGTAATTATCCTTTGAAAGGATGCAAAGGATCATTCTTTGAAGGAGGTGTTCGTGCCCTTGCTTTTGTTAATGGTGGTCTCCTACCAGAATCAAGAAGAGGTGAGTCTACTGATGGATTCATTCACATTGCTGACTGGTACACTACATTCTGTAAACTAGCAGGAGTTGATCCTGATGATTCTGGAACAGGAAAGTTTCCAGTTGATGGTTTAGATGTATGGCCTATCATAACAGGAGAGGATGAAAAGACACAGCATGAAGATATTATACTGGGCTATGATTTCTTCTCAAGACACACTGGAGCTATTATTATGGGGGACTACAAACTTCTTGTTGGTCCTCAACCAACTAATTGTGATGCTTTAGTGTGGTCACCAATAGATTATCCTTGCACTAATGGTACAGTGGGTCCTAACTGTGACCCATACTGCTTGTATGATATTGTAAATGATCCCACTGAAAAGAAAGATTTGTCGAATGACAACAAAGAAATGCTACAGAAGCTACTTGAAAAGTACAATGAATATTCTAAAGAACCAAGAGATATGCAGGATCAAGGATATCATTCAGAAGGAGTTATACCTCAAGATCCTAATGCATGTAAGTATATGGCAGAAAATGGTGGATACTGGAGGCCATGGAAAAACCTCTGAAGCTCTATTAATTTTGCTTTTATATGCATTGTACAATTATACTATGTATGTACTTTTGCTATCATATACCTTTCTTGTATTTTATTTGATTGTCATGTGATGCAATAACAATAATGTCTGCACTACAGCTTTCTTTAGTCTGTGTTTTGTGTAGTTGCTTTGTTGCAACTGCTAAACTGCCTAATATTGTGTTTGTGTTGGTTGATGACTGGGGCTTTGCTGATGTTGGTTTCAGGAATCCAGCAATCTCTTCACCTAACTTTGATCAATTGGCTAAAACTGGTCTAGTTCTTAATTTTCATTATGTTTTTAATTATTGCTCTCCATCTTGTGCCTCCTTCCTAACTGGATGATGGCCTCATTATGCTCATCAGTGGAATATGCCAACATTTACAGAAATGGCTGGTACTAATCTCAACATGATGATGCTACCAGCTAAACTAAAAACTGCAAACTATGCTACTCATATGGTAGGGAAGTGGCATTAAGGATTCTTTGATCCTAGATACCTTCCAATCAATAGAGGCTTTGATACTTCTAGTGGGTTTTTAACTGGAGCAGAGGATCATTTCACTCAGCACGAACAATGCTCAATTGATTATTGGAAGAATAATGCTCCTGACAGTAGAAATGGAACATATGATGCTTATCACTATCGGAATGACCTGACTGATA